TTAATATTGATATATTCCCTATGGGATCTGTTTTATCATATTATGATGCTAATGAGATTTGCTCTCTTGTTTATGATCATGAAATAAAAGCTGCTGTTTTTCTGGGTTCTTCCTCCTCGACACCTAGGCCGGATGGTTATAACTTTCATTTTTTCAAAGCTTGCTGGCACATTATAGGCTCGACTGTATGCAGAGCTATAAAATCCTTTTTTTCTAAAGGTTACATGCCCAGAGGAATTAAGCACACGGGCCTTGCTATCATTCCAAAACACAAGAATGCAATGGACATTTCTGAATACAGGCCCATAGCTTTATGTAATGTTGTCTATAATATCATTGCCAAAGTTATTGCGTGTAGGCTTAAGCCTCTTATGCTAAGCATTATCGAATATAACCAGTCTGGTTTTTTACAAGATAGGATATCCACAGACAACATTTTGCTGGCTAGTGATATTCTTGCCACTGCTAATAGGAGGGGTGGAGTTAAATTATTTTGTGCCAAGTTAGACATTAGAAAGGCCTTTGACTCCGTTTCTAGGAAGTTTGTTTTGGCTAGATTATCTCAAAAAGGTTTTACTAACACTTTTGTCAACTGGATCAAAATGTGTATTACTAATGTACAATTTTCCATTGTTCTTAATGGTGCCCTAGAGGGATTTTTTCTATCTACTGCCGGCCTAAGACAGGGTTGCCCTCTTAGCCCTTATCTTTTCTGTCTTGTTATGGATGCATTCTCTAATTTATTAAAGGAGAGGGATTTATTGGTATCAGTGCAGATAATTTCAATCTTACCCATCTTTTATACGCTGATGATGTGCTTGTGTTTGGAGAGGCCTCTTTAAGTAACTTTCATAATCTGGCTAATATTCTCAGAGAATTTGGTAATTCTACTGGCTTGCATATCAATTTTGAAAAAAGTGCCATTATGTTCCCAAAGCATCAACTTAATCAACAAGCCATTTGCCAGATCCTATCCATCTATAACATTACCAATAAAATCTCTTACCTTGGGATCCCGTTGTCCTTTAATAGGCTTAAGGTAGAAGATTTTCTCCCTCTTATGGATTACATCAATCATAAAATGAATGGGTGGAAGGCAAACTTGCTGTTGTTTGCTGGGCGCTTACAGTATTTAAAGTTCACTATTCAAAATACCATTGGATATTGGATTCGTGGTTCGATTTTGCCTAAACAGGTGTGTAAGCATTTTAACAAGGTTAGCTCTAGATTTCTTTTTTTTTGGAGATTCTAATCAATCCAGAAAATTGCACATGATATCTTGGGATACTATATGTCGTCCCAAGAACAAGGGTGGGCTGGGGATACCCTCTGTTAATGCTATTCAATATGCATATAATTGTGATGTTATACTCAGGATGTATAACAGCACTTCTCCCCTCTCCAATTGGCTGACTAGTAAATAGTTTTCTCCTTGGCGCCCTCCTCCTATGACTGCTTCAAAATTCTGGAAATCTGTGTGTAAAACTGCTACTGAAGATAAGGCCTATTTTCATTTCAAGCTTAATGCTTATTGCCCCATTTCTCTTACCTGGGATCACTGGTGTTATGACATGACTTTAAAAGATTATATGGGAGAAGTTATTTCTATTCCAGAGAAAAATTTTGGCTCTTTTTATTATGATTATAGGTGGAATTTACCAGATTTCTTACCAGAGCAACTGAAGGCTTTATTTGTTATGTCTCACGGACTTAACAATGAGCCCAATCTATTGTGGAAAGATAAATCTGCATCTAAATTCAAAGATTATGTCCAGGAATTTTATTGTGGCTTATCTGATTGTAACTGGTACAAAAATGAGTGGCACAAAGGTAGCTGCGTAAAGCACAATGTGTTTGTTTTGTTGGCTTTAGTAGGGGGACTTAAGACAGCAGACGCTCTTCGTATTAGGCAGATTAATGTTCCCAGTAAATGCTCATTATGTCATATTTTTGATGAATCTATTACGCACTTATTCTTTGAATGCTCTTACTGCTTTACAGTTCTTATTACTGTTATGCCGGACACCAAAGAATTACTTTTAAGACCATCTCTGCTTCACCTATTTGTTTGGGTGAACTCGAAATACAAAGGAAATTCTGCTTTGAAAAATTTTTACAAATTGATGGTGTGCTGTATTACTTATTTCATCTGGAAGGAGAGGAACACTAGGAGGTTTGGAGGGAATTCGAATAGTTCTGCTGCTCTCGCTTTGTCCATTAAAAAAGTGGTGTTTGAGAAAGTGCTTGAATGGAAGAACTCTTATGGTTTGCTGGAAAGGTTATAATAATGGCTCTAGATGGGATGCTATGTCTCGTTTTGCAGCAATTTTGTGGCTAGTCTGGACAATGATGATGCTCCTTGTTGCTGATCCCTTGGATGGCCTTTGTGGCAACCAGGGGTTGATGTTTTCTTCGAATGACTTCCTTTTTTCTGAGTCCAGACTGTTTCTGGGCCAAGGAGCATGTTCTTATACCAATATTTTTTGGCTGCTGATGCGTTGCTCTGTATTCAGGAGCTGGTGCTGCTGCTGGAATGTTTTCCTTTATATTGACAGGATATGGCTATTCACTGAATGTTTTTAAAGACTTCCTGCTTGATTTTTCGTATATTATTTTCAGGCCTAAAGTCATCAAGCTAGTTTGATTATTCTGAAGCGGTGCAATTGTTCAAGAAAGTTGGTGGAAGTTCTCTGGATCCTGGCGGAGGTTTTTTCGCTGTTTTTTTTAGTATTTTTCTGATGGCTTTTTTGGTTAGCCATTTACTTGTATTTTTTTCTTTCTCTTTTTGGGCTTCTTCAAGCCAGCCTTTATGGCCTTAGCATTTCATTACACCTGTAATCTTTTTGATTAATAGATGGGCTTAGCCCAAATTTTCCAAAAAAAAAAAAAAGTTAATAACTTATTATATATATAATGTAATAATGACATACGTTATATATTGATTAACTATAATAATTACTTCAGATTCAATAATGAGTATTAATTACTTGATTAAGTAATTAATTACATTTTTCTTTTTCTAGTAAAGTTCGATTTGAACATTTTTATTCTACAGAATTGTTTTTCAATATTTCAGACTCAATCTTAACACTTCTAAAGCTCAAAATTTTTTGAGTGAAGCGAATAAATTTTGTGTACTCTAGACTCAATTTTGCTAATTTCGAATCTCAAAAGATAAGTTTTGAGCAATTCAAAAATTTTTTGAGTATCTTTTGTTTGACATTTTTGCTCCGATTATTGCTCTAATTTTGCAGAAAGCTAGAATCATGAATATATTTTTGGACTGTAAAATTCAACATCCAAAAATAGGGGGGCAACTGATACATCCACAAAAATTGCCTTGATCAAGCACGAATCTCGAGGCATATTCAAGTTGGAAAATCTTTAAAATTAAATTTGTGATCATCTGAATTCCAATTTTAGCAAACTTATAGTCAAATTGAACATCTCAATGGGACGAACCAAACATCACCGAAATTGGTTCAACCTAAGCCCAAATGGGTCCAAATCGGGGGCCCGAACCACATTTGGAAGGGTTAAAGCATTATTTGGATTATGAAATGATATCCAAATATGGCGTGCTTATAGTCAAATCGAGCGTCTCGGTGAGAAGAATCCAACGAGCCCAAGATATCTGAATTCCGATACTGTTAAGGCACTTAAACAGTCAAAAAACTCTCTATGATCGGGGGAATCAATACGAGTCATCCGATGGAGCACTCTGAACCTGCCCCGGATCTTCTCTAGATTTACAGGGTGTGCCACTCATGAAAATCTATAAATAGACCCCCACTCTCTACATGAGGGGGACCTTTCGCTTGAGATTGAAGAGAGCTCTGAAGCTTCAAGAGCTCTAGCACCACCGCCCGGCCGCCACCTGCCGGACATCCGTACGACCGTCTCCAGATCTTTGGCTGTCTCTCCAAATTACTATAATTCGACCGCCTTTAAATCGAGGGACGGGTCAACCCTTGTAATTCACTCAAGTTTAGTGGAATATTTTCACTTGGGCAAGGCCCCGTGGTTTTTCTCTCTTCGGGTTTTCCACGTAAAAAAAAGATTTGGTGTTCTACTTCTCTCTTTCTGTTTGAGTGTTGAATATTTGTGCATCTTTAAGACAAAAAGTTTACTCACTCTACCGCCACGAATCTTTCAGCCCGCAACAAGAAGTAATTTGGAGTGATAAATTTAATTTAATTTTTTTGGTAAGGTTTTACATGTTAAAAAAATAAATAATAATTTTTAATGTTAGATATCCAAATAAAAAAAATTATGGTAGATATCTAAATTCATACATTTTTTATTAAAAAAATATTAATATATTTTATGCTTACGGTAGGTTTACCAAAATAAGATATTTAAAAAAAACATGAAAAAGAACTATCATTCTATTGACATCAGGGACGGAACCAACCTTAATTTTCAAAGGAGGCAAACTTATAAGTTAAAGTGTAGAATTTAGATCAACTCCTATTTGTTCACATCCTTGATTGTCGTACGCTACACAGATATGTCGGGGATCCAAGAGGGCAGCGCCACTTGGCGTCCAGTTGCGGGGTCAAGGGCAGCACCCCAACGAGGATTTTAGGGGGCGCTCAAATTTTTGTTGTAAGGATATTATTAGATTATCTTTACTATTTATTTTGTATTTGATTCATCGTTCTCTAACAATAACAACTCTATATAACCAATTGCCTAATGACCATATATTTTTGTCTTTATTACAATTTTTTTTAGGCAATTGCGAAGCTATCATTATTACGTGCGGATGTCGAATATGTCTGGAGGCCAATTCCGACACGCGTATACACTGTATATTGGGAGACTATTCCATGCGGAGCCTAGACGGAAATAACGGTTCGGATATATGAACTGTGTACATATTTGTACATAATATGTATCAAATTTTTATAGATTCTCCCCGTACAAATTCAGAAGAGAATAATATTCTCCTATATTAAATCCGACCTCGGCACGCTTTCCGTTCCGCAACGTAATAATTTGGCCATATTTAGGGCCCGCCCAGCCTGTGTTGGTTTGCTTAGGCCGTTTCATTTGATACTGACTCCAAAAATCAATTAACTGTAATTTTGAATGTCCCTATAAAACGGCCATTTAGGCTTCTCGTTTTCGATCGGCCCTTTCCTATTCCTTCGATTACGCACTGGTTCTCTCAGTTTCTCTCTGAGCGATTGAGGGGATAAAAGAATGTCAGGAACGAACGCAGGGGAGGAAAAGAAGCAAGATCAGGGTGGCACGCATATCAATCTTAAGGTGAAAGGGCAGGTGAAACATCTTTCTCGATTATTTGATATACCTGTTGCGATCTGTCTTAATTTCGTCTTTTTCTTGCTTGAGAACGCATTCAATGCCTAGCTTGCGATTGGGGCTAAATTTTTGTATTTAGGGAATGCTTGTCTGTGATTTTTTGTGTTTGTTGCTAAATCGGGAATCGGGTTTCAGTTTAGCGGTGATTTAGGTTGAAATGTTGAGGTCATTTTCATCTTCGCCATCTGAAATAGTTTTTCTCGTTGTTGTTGTAGATTTTAATCATGCATTTGAGTTAATTTGTGTTAAACGTGTAGTAAGTGTGGATATATCTTTTTCGTTGCTCGCGTTTTGAAGGTATCAGTTGGTGTTGGCATTGGATTTATGCTGGAACTCTGTTTTTGGGTTGATGGAGGAGCCTTAGAAACTAATTTTATGTCCTTTTTGAATAAACATTTTTTGTTATTAATCCTTTAACATTAACCATTTCTATTTCTCTTATTAGTGCATCTTCAACTTTTCACTGTACATTCCCAAACCACCTAGTCTATTTTCATAATCTTATCTTTAAGAAATATTATTCTCACTGTCCTTCTAATATAATTATTTCTTAATCTATACCTTATTCCTAGTTGAAAATGAGTCTATAGCAGTGGTTAAGTTACTTTATTACATTATAGAGGTTCCATATTCGATTCACTAAAATAATCTCCTTGCATGCCTTATTCTCACTGTCCTTCTAATATAATTATTTCTTAATCTACTGCTGTTTTTGTGCAAAACAGGTATTTGATGATAGTGTTTTTGCAAATGGATTTATAGATATCACATTTATGTTTTCTGCTAGTGTAGCATATCCTTGCCTATGAGATCATCATTGGACTCTTTGGACAACAGCAATTATTTTCTTCATGATTTGTTGCGGAGACTGTGCTCCTCATGATGACCGTAGATCTCCCCTAAGGAACCACAATACGAAGAGTATTGTCACATTGACCTTCACTCTCCTTTTAGGGAGATGTTACATATCAACCCTATAGACACAAATATCCAACATGCTTCTATGGTCAACTTCATGGTTGATATTATCTCTCATTTATTTTGTGCTATTATGTATTACTTTTTTTGTTGGATTTATGCTTTTTGCTCATGTTTTTGGGATATATTAGGCATTTTCAAGAAAATGCTTAGGCTATTATTTCATCTTTGCCTCCCTTCCTTTAAAAATAGTGTCTGCCTTATATTATGAAGGATGATTAGAAATTTTTGTAAATTTAAAGTTCATGTCTTGAAGGCTCCTCCCCCCTTATTCCCTCTCCAAGCTCATATATTCTTCTTCTCCTCCTAATATCCACTCTCCCTTACATCTTAACTCTTTCCCTCTTTACACCAAATCCCTCTTCTTTCTTTATTTCTTGCTTGATCTACAAGATTTAGCAACTTCTCTTCCACAAACATGAACATTCTTCCATTATGGAGGTTTGGGTTAGCTACTTGGTAGGTGGATGCTAAAATCCCTTACCAATTTTTACTTTTGACATCATTTAATCCTTATAATGCTTTAATAGGTTTAACAATGCAAAAAAAAAATTGTATGAAAGTTTGAAACTTGCTATCAAATAGGCCAAGCTGTTCCTTACTTGATGAGGTTCAACTAAAGATTGGATGAGGAATTAAGGGTATCAAGAGTGGTAAACAGAAAATGGCAAACTAGAACTAAACCTTAGACTACTAACTATCCGTTATTCTTTTATGACGGTCTCCTTCTCTTTTTGTTGCTTTTGTTTCATCCTCTTCCTTCTAGAACTTCCTCTCTTTGTTTTATCCCTTGCTAGCAAAAGGATTTTGACTCACTTTTGGCATTCTTGGGTAGGAGAGAAAATGGAGAGGGGGAGAGAGAGTGAGAGTGAGGAGGGGTGGCTAGCTTGTCTGACTAGAGTGGAGAGAGAGAACATGTAGAGATCAGCTTTTCCAGTTTCTAGCTATTATTTGTAGATGAGTGCAAGAAATGTAAAACTAATCTCTAAGTCTTCAGGATAATCCTCTTTACAATAAGGAAACAAATCCTAACAAACTAAATCTACTGGGGGTTGAGCCTTGTAGTTTGATAAAATCGTTCATTGTCTTAGTATCTTGAATTTAGATTCCTTATTTTTTTTCGTTTTGGAAATTCAATTTTACTCTCTTTATCCTTTTGGCCTTCTCCTGCGTGATGAATAACTGGAGAAGAAAAGGTGATGTCATATTCTTGCTTCCATTCAACCTAGCTTGCCATGCAAAGGTGATTTCTTTCGTTTTTTATGATTTCTGCTGATCCATGCCTTTTGTAGTACGAGTACTATCAATATCACTAGAGTGAGTTGTTGTGGGTGGCTTTAGTGAGTTAGAGTGAGAGGAGATGAGTCTTTTTCTTTATATGGTGCTTTATTTGTGGCATTTATCAGGATTGTTGTCAAATCTCCATGTAGCATGTTAATTTAAGTTGTTATTGATTAGGCTAGAGCTTTGTCTCGACTATGGATTAAATCCAATGTTCTTCACATATATTTAAAAAGATATATAAAGGGTAGTATATAAGTTAGGAGATCAAAATGGTCTTGTTGAGGTGAACTCGTGGTCTGACCTGACAACTTTAGATTGGGCTATATTCTTAATTGGTTTGGGTTGGTGAATGCTTGTGGGTTGATTAGCTGCAAATTTGGTTATGTTTTAGAGTTAGTTTGGTTCAAAACCTGATGATTTCTGTGTATTTGCCATTCTACTGCACTATTATGTAGAAAATGATTTTTCTCAGAAGTCAGTTATTAATGATGCTTGCCTCTGAGTGTTTTGTGTTTCTGGCTGTGTTACGACCATCTATTAATACATTTCTTTCTTCATTTACCTTGTCAAATTCTGAATTTCTTTTTGTGTTGTGCATGAAGTTAGGATACTCATAGAGATATTACTAAATGAAATTTTTATCTCTGAGGGGTAGGAACACTTTTAAGGTTCTATCATCGTACATTTGCCAATTTAATACAAAATTCTTTTCTTTTGGTTTGTTTCTAAAGTATGGGTGTCAATATTTGACCCGACCTGTACTTGACCCAAAAAATTTCCAATTTGGGTCAACCCATTTGGCAAATGGGTCGGGTTGGGTCCGGATTTGAGTTGACCCGAATTCCACCCGCACCTCACCACTCGATTCAATCTTGCACCCCACACCGACCTGCCTCAGTGCCTGCCTCACCCACGCTTGTCTCTGCTTCCTGCACCACCTGGATGCCTCAGTGCCTCGCCCATGTGCGCTGCCCATCCTCGCATCGGCTCACCCACTGCCTGCCTCGCTTGCGCTCAGGCTCGACCCAACATCCCGCACTTATGTTGGCGCCCTACCCACCTGCGCTCACTTGCGCTTGACCCTATACACCCGCAAGCCCGGGGCGGGTTCGGGTAAATAGTGACGGGTCAATTTCGGGTTGGACTTGAAGCCAATCCCAAAACCCATTTTGACGCCCATAGTTTCTACTTTATACCCTCTAATTTCATCCTAAATGATAGGAAGTAATCCATACTTAAACTAGCAATTGCATATGTTGATGGTTGCAATAGGTGTTTGTTTTCTCTACTTCATTTGAAATTTTTTTGGGCTGTATTAATATCCCATGCTTTGATTAGCAAACAATTATATACTTTAAATGGAGAAAATAATATTTTCATTTGCCTTTTGGATGTTATGCTGGCTATTAAAAAATAAAATATGTTTATTTTTCTTCATTGTGATTACAAACTTTTATTTTTCTCATATTTTACTCATTATCTTGACCATCATCATCATCGTCGGTGTTATTCCACCTGCATTCTCTATTTCATTCTTTATGATATCAAGAAATCCCATTGTCCATTCATTCTTTATGATATTAATTGAGCTGTTAGCTCCATTTTTTTCAGCTTATTTTGAACAATTTCTAGCATTATTATATTTAAGGTAGGTCTTCTATTATTTTATATGTCTACAAGTAAGAAAACTTGTTACGCAGAGATAAATATAATATATTTCTGAGCATGATAAGATATATTCCTATAATGCATATTAGGAGGTTAATTGGGCACTTGAGTCACCCTTATTGTTGATTTTAACATAAATTTCATTTACATACAAATGATATTGCAAAAGATATAAAAAGTAAGTTTCATTTTTTTTTTTGTTCTTCATCAACTATGTCACTTTTTTTAGTGAGAATATGAAAGAAATTTTTTTTTTGAAACATGGTGTGAAAGACATGTTTGACCACTTTACCCGCGTCCACCATCCTTAGTCCTTGCAACTGTAACTCTCCCTCACCCTCCATTAAGCTCACAACTTTGTGTTCGCTTCACACTTCGCAACTTGTTGTTCATCCTCAAGCCATGTTGTAGTTATTCTCTTGTCCTGTTTATCTACAATTGTAACTCCCACCTAGCATACATGACTTGCGTCTTGCTTACCACCTTTTAGACATAATTTGCACCTCAATTCTCTCATGAATTGCTCTTTGGCTTATGTTTCGTTCACTATAATCTATCATAGTGTAGATATCAAAATTTTGACAAGCATCCGATGTCTCACCCCTGCATATGGATCAAAGATACGACGACGTGATGTCTTCTAATTTATTTTTCCCTGGCCAGATCAAAGATTGGATGACACTAATCTTATTTGTTTTTGTGTATACATGTACTCTATTTACAATTGATTTCATTTAGTCGAGAGGGATATCATTAACTATTGTTGACTGTTGAATTCGGACAGGGTCGGTGTAGAATTTACGAGAAGGATTGCGCTCGTTCGGGATAGAATAGGAGCGGAAGTGGGGAGAGGCGAGGTCGGGCTGAGGGCGTGGGACATGGTCGCAAGAGAAAGCGGAGGCAGAAGTGGGGCGCTGGGCTTTGGGTCGTGTGAGGAAGCGTGGTCGGGCCGTGGGAGATCACACAGATAGATCCAGGGTCACGCGGACGGTCCGAAGTCACGTGAGACGGGAGTTAGGGTGTGGGTCCCACGGACGGGTCAGGATCTAAGTCACATGGACGGGATCAGGACGAGCGATGATATGGGCGTGAGCGGAAGGTGGGCTCGCGTTCACGCATGGTAGAGGGGTCCGGCAGAGGCCGGGATGCTTGATCGGAGCATGGGATTGAGGGGTTGGCGAGCAGATTCGAATTTCTGGATTGGAGAAGAGCGTGTGCGAAAGGCCTTTCCTCTTTCCTTTTTTTCTATAAAGTTGCTCGAAGGGTTGCTTCTCTTTTGTGAAACAAGGCATCTATTCTGTATTTTTATTGTTTCTCTTTTTTCTAGAAACAATCATATCATCCTTAAACATTTCAACAAAATAGTGTTGTTGAGTATAAACATTACCATTTATTTAATACAACAACATCAAAGCCTTTATCCCATTACATGGGGTCAGCTACATGAATCCTTTTTCTCCATCGTGTCCTATTAAGAGTCAAATTCTCTTTTAAATATAATACATAAAGATCATTTCTAATATTTTCTCACCAAGTCTTTTTAGGTCTATCTCTACTTTTCTTTTCATAAGTCAAATATAATGCATCTACTCTCCTAACTGGGTCATCAGAAGGTCGTCGTTTTATGTGACCAAACCATCTAAGGAGACTCTCTAATCTTATCTTCCACTGGATCTACTCTGACCTTTTCACATATATGCTCTTTCTGTATCCTATCTCTAAGAGTATAAAGCCACTCATCCACCTAAGCATCATCATCTCTGCTACACTTAACTTCATATTATGCTTCTCTTTTAATGGCCAACATTTTGCACCATAAAGTATTGCAAGTCTCACCACAATCTTATAATATTTTTTTTTTTAAAGTTTGTGGGGGACTTTTCTATCACACAAGAAACCCAAACCATTCCTCCACTTCAACAAATCAACTTGAATTCTACTAATAATATCCACATCACTCTGAATAATAGACTCAAGATATTTAAAATGTGTACTCTTATTAATGATTTGATCACCAAAAGTCACAATCCCCCTACTAGATCTATTACTATTAAAATTACACTCCATATATTCAATTTTAGAACTACACAAATGAAAATTTTTAGACTCTTAAGTTTGATATCCATAATTCAAGTTTACCTTCAACTCTTTCTCTAGTCTTATCAACAAGAATAAACTGTCACTCGGAATAAATTTATAATATTTGCAATATAAACGATATATTTTTCTTATAAAAAATAATTAATTTGAGTTTTATTATATCCATTCTTATAAGTGATGAGATGCTCATCTCTTTTTCTTAAATAAGATATTAACAATTTCAAAATCATAAGCTATAACAAAATCTAACATATGGTCTTACCACATTCATTAGTCGCTCCAAACTCATCGCCACCATGAATGATTTTAAAATCATTTAACTCTCTACCAACATATCCATTTAAATCTACTCTAATAAAAACTATTTGTTCAAGAGGTATCTTTTATATTAATTCTTTTATTCATTCCAAAATTTTAATTTTGAATACATATCCAAATCAATTTGAAGAGCTTAAACATTTATAATATTAATAATCTTAGCATAAAAAATAATCATTAAAGTTATAATTCTATCTCTAATAATAAAATATGATTATGTATTTATGTTTAACTCTGCTTGGCGTATTCTTCTAGTAATAACCATAATTAACCTTAAAAAACATAATTAACCTCAAAAAATCCATAATTAACCTCTAATTAAAATCATGTTTCTTCTAATTAAAATATAATTTATGTTATTCAACTAATTATTAAGCACTAATCAAACCATCAATAACTCACTAAAAAAAAATTTCAGGTTGTGAGATAATTTCTGATATTTTATTGCTGAGCTCTTTGGCTTTACTGTTTTTTAACAAGACATGAAACACCACGATCAAATATGTTGAAATAACTTCCAGGATTTAGAAGCTCAATTATAGGCCTAATAAATGGAAATTAGCAGCTTTCAATGGCAACTTCTCATTATAAAATTGGGATTTTTACATACATAACACTTTAAACTATTCCCGACCCCACGTAGTGGGATAAAGGCTTGATGTTGTTATTGTTGTTGTTGTAACACTTTAAACTATTAAAAATAGATATTTAACACATAAATTTCTTTATTTACTAATATACCATATAAAATCCTTCTTTTAATCAATTCTAGCATTCCGTTTAAACTTTCTGTCAAAAATCACTATCAACGACTATCTTCTCCATCAATGGTACCCTTTCACAGTGAATACAAGTATCTCATCGCTTCAACGGAGTGGTGGAATGGAAGGAAAAAAGGATAATTTTTAGGTGGTATATTAGTAAATATAGAAGTTTAGGTGTTAAATATGTATTTTCAAAAGTTTTAGATGTTATGTACGTAAAAATCTCTATAAAATTCTCATCTGACATTTTGAATTTTGAGCATATTTCATGTCATATAGGATGGCAACGAGCTTTTCTTCAGGATCAAGCGCAATACTCAACTGAAGAAGCTAATAAATGCATACTGTGAGCGCCAGTCTATTGGTTCGGACTCCATTGCCTTCCTCTTCGATGGCCGTAGGATTGGCGGTGAGCAGACTCCCCATGAGGTAATATAGTTTACATTTTCATTTATTTTTGCCGATTCAAAATAGAAAAAAAATACTCCGAAAGAAATTATATTTGAATAAATTGAAAATTATTGAATTTTCTTTGAGATTAATGTTTTATTTGAAGAATTAATATTTCATCAATCTTATAGTAAATCTAATAATTTTTAAGTTCATTTTGTTATAAATTATATTAGAATATCTTGATATAACTTTTTCTATTAAAATAGAAAACAATTATGATGGGATACTCTGATACAATTTCTATGAATATACTTGAAAGTCCTTGAATATTCTTTATGATAAATGCTTTATATGAAGAGTTTATAGTACACAAGTTTTGAAACAATTTTAATAATTTTCAAGCACATCCTGATCAGGGGCGGATAGGGGTGTAAACGAGTCGAGTCGAGTCTAGTTTAGGCCTTATTGAGCTTGACTCCTTAGTAGGAAAGCGAGCTCGAACTTGAGCTCGACAGGCGAGCTTGAACTCGAGCTCGTTTACAGCGAGTCGGCTCGTGAGCTCGAGTTTTTAAAGTTTAGGTGAGATTTTTAAAACTTAAGAGGGATTTTTAAAATTTAGGTGTGATTTAAAAAAAAAAAGATGCATGTTTAACATTTAAACAAAACTTAAGTAGTTCTTATTCTTTTTTTTTTTAATATTTAAATGTAATAAATAAGATAAAATTATTAAAAATATATTAATAATTATTCGAGCCGGCTCGCGAGCTCGCGAGCCGAGCTGGCTCAAGCTCGAACTCGAGCTTGTTTACTAAATGACCTCGGATTTGAGCTCGAGTTTGATAAGCTCGGCTCGTGAGCCCATAAACGAGTCGAGCTCCAATTGTCCCCACTAAAAAAAATTAAAATACTATTGTCTTTAGACGATTGCCCCCTAGCAAAATTAAACACATTGTGCATTTGTGTTATTTATGAGTTTGCCCCTCTAAGAATTAAGACTGGTTCCGCCTCTGATCCTGATATAATTATATGAGGATATTCTGATAGATTTTTTCCCTAGCAAAATATATGATGTTCTGATGACAATTATTTATGAAATTTGCCGTCAGCTTGAGATGGAAGATGGAGATGAAATCGATGCCATGCTTCACCAAATCGGCGGGTAACTAAATTTATATTTCTGATTTTGGGGTGTTCTTGGCTTGGCCATCTTCTGTATATTTGACATGGCTTTGACATGAATGAACATGTTAATATTCTGCTGTGAGTTTTGGCCAAGCTGTGGAGCATCTGAAAAACTGATCTATTAGAATTGATGAGCTGCTTATTATGCTTTCCATTGCCTGTTTGTTGATACTTTGAATCATGTTTGCTATGAACCCTAATTTACAAGTGATATGAGACTGATAATTTATGCATAATAGAAACTCTAGTAATAGTTTTTGATTCGTTCTTTTGTTATTGAGAGAAAAACTGTTGATATAGCACCAAAATTATCTGCACAAAATCATTTAGTTTCAGCTACCAAATGTTTTAAATTTAGTATGATTCGAAATTCGATTATTTTTTGTTTCGATTTGAGGAGTTTAGAGATGATTTTGGGTCAAATTTGACGAATCAAAAACTGAGGCTTTGTTTGTGACAGTTTTTTTTGCCGCTTTCATGAAATTTTTGCACTAAAAAAATACTGTAAAAGGTAGAAAGAAAGTTATCTGAAACTGGAGCCTAAATTGAACATATTAGATAATTTATTGCTTGAAGCATAGGATAAAAGTTAGAAGTAGAAAAAATTACTTTAAGAAGTATTTAGAAGTAGTTAAAGTCGCCCATCAAATGCTTGGTCGTGCTCCTTATTTAAGCTTTTTGTATTAAAAAATTACGTTAAGAAGTAGAAAAAGACTGCCCCAAATGAAACCTTAATATCTTATCAGAACTCTTTTGAAGAAGTTACATATCAGTTTGTAGTTCTATAATGTTTGCTGGAAATAATAATAATGTATTTCTTTCTTTCTTTCGTTATTCTTGATTGGTTCATATTTTTGTAAAGACATACTGTGTTCATTTGGGATGGCGGTGTTTCTTAAAACAGTTTTCTGGTACAAAAATTAAAATTTTTTTATTAGAAAGTTGCTTTAGGAAGCAGGAAAAAAATCTTCTCCGCTTCATTTGGGACGGTTTTCTTATTGATTCTTAAAGAAGCTTCCTAATACAAAAATTAATTTTTTTGTAGAATGAAGTTGCTTTAAGAAGCATAAAGAAAGCCGTCCCAAATGAAGCCTTATGCTTCGTTTGGGACGGCTTTCTTCCTACTTAAAGCGGAGTACCAAAATTTTAATTTTTGTACTAAAAAACCGCTTTAAGAAGTATGAAGAAAGCCATCCCAAACGAATCCTTAGTCTAGTGGAGTCATGAGTTGGCTTGTGCTCAACTAGTTAAATGATGGGTGATCAATGAGCCAAGCTACGTGAGCTAATTTTGATCCAGTTTATTTGCCTGTGTACTTTTGTTTAAAAAAAACATTATTTTTTTAAAGAAAATTATTTAAAATATTTAACAAATCATTCATCTTGAAAATTAATTAAATTTTAATTCTCTTATATATATATTTTTTATAGTTATTTGTGTATATATCGATCTGTAAGTAGGGAAAATTTCGAAACTAGGTATTATTAAAAATTTAATAATATAATTAAGTATTGAATAAAATAAATTTAGAAGTAGTTAAAGTCGCCCATCATCGGTAATTTTTTTAATGGATAAAACTTGTACAGGAAATTATAGCGAAAGAAAAAAAAATAACGATTCAAAGTTTCTCCTTAAATGCAGACTTTGAAAGTAAATATCAAAGCTCTATATTTTTTGTTTAAAAAATATATGTTTAAACGATTGACTTCTATTAAAATATAGAAATTATATTTTACATTAACTCCAATTTTTTTGTTTTTGTATATTTTTATTTAAAAATCAGATTTTTTATATTTTTTTTTTAATTTATTTTCTTCTTATTTTATTTTAAAATTATTTTTCAAAATTACTGTAGCAAGTTGCCTATTTAACGAGCAATTTGCGATAGTAATTAATTTTTTTAAAATAAGTCGTCCGTTAGTTGGACAACTGACATATGACTCGACAAGTTCGAGTCAACATAAGCCGCCCATTTGATAGGCGACTTTGCCCATTTTTAAATTTATTTATTTTAGATACTTAATTACATTATTAAAATTTTAATAATACCTAATTTAAAATTTTGACGCTGTAAGTATGGCCCTGTAACCGTAGCTCTTTCGGGATTCAGGTCAACCCGTTTGCCATACAAGTCAGATCCAGATTCGAGATTTGACCCGTTTAAAAAAAGAAAATTGACTATATGTCTATATGATGACCATTTGTGAGGGCACCATTGATAACATTTTGTTCTACTATAATTGTTCCATTACTTTTGTTTTTCTTTTTTCTTAACATTTCTTATACTTTTGCTCTTTATTAGCAATAAGAAATGACTATGCTCTCTACATATGGTAGATATAGACTACATAGTCAAATCATTGTAAATTATTTGTCTCTTCTCAATATTATTGAATGGAAATAGAATAAATAGGGCTGCAAGCGAGCGTTCGACGAGCTACTCGATGCTCGGTTCGATTAAAGCTCGTTTGTGATCGTTTAACTAACCAAACAAACAAATTTGAACAATATTTTAAAACTCGATCCTTAAATAAACAAGCTTGAACACGAATGTGTTCGGTTCATTTATGTTCACGAACAACATCATTTGAAGTTTGTAAACAAGCTCGACATTAAGCTCGATAAAAGCTCGAATGGAGAGAAATGCAACATGAAAGTTTCATTTAAGAATATATTCATATAAATTAATCATATTATCATTTTAAATTGATTTCACATTTGTCTATGTTTCATAGATTGTTTGTTTAAGATGTTCATGAATAAATTTAATGTTTGTTAATTTGTTGAATATATTGTTGCTAAATATGTTCATGAACATAGCTCGTTAAGGCTTGTTTGTTTAAAGCTCGATAATCATTAAACGAACCAAACATGAACTAAACATGAACATCCTTAAATTAAACAAACCAAACACGAACACAAACAATAAAGCTCGAATCAAACATGAACCGAACTTGAATAAGCTAATGATAAATGAACTCAAACATGAACACTCGCATACTTGGCTCGGCTCGGTTCTTTTGCAGCCCTAAGAATAAACTATTCATTATCATCGAGCTTCCAAGAGGTGCTTCCACTATGTAGGGAGGCGAGCCAAACACTACAGGAAAATATTCGATTTCCAACGAATTTCTCCGAAGCAATTAACATGTAATTATTATCAAAATTAATAGACTATCTTTCACATTCAACACATATATCAGGAAAAAAAATTCTATTAGGATAAGTGGATGCAAAATAGATCAGAACGGGCTTAAAATTCATTAGATTTACGTTGAGAATCGTTAATTTAGACTAAGAATATCACAATTCATGAGATTATATACAACACTAAATTTTACTCAAATTTAGAACAATTATTAGGTCCTCCGACCGGACGTAGATCTACGTCCGGTCGTAGCTAAAATCGCGTCAAAAAACGAGAAATACCGAGCAAATACCGAGCAATACCAAACAATAACGAGGAATATTACTCGGTATTGCTCGGTATAACTCGGTATTGGTCTTCACAGAGCAGTATTCCTTGTTATTACCAAATAATACCTAGCAATACCAAGCAGATACAGAGTTTTTTGGTGGGATTTTAGTGCCAACCGGACGTTCCTCTACGTCCGGTCGGAAGACCTAATAATTGTTCCAAATTTAGAGGCTTCGAAGCTAATTATGACGTGTTTTGTACAAGATATTATGACGCTATTTTTTTCAAATATAATGATAAAAATTGGTCAATCTTGTAGGATATTTGATGTTTCATTAATTTTGGGGAGAGAGAGAGAGAGAGAGAGAGAGAGAGAGAGAGAGAGAGAGAGAGAGAGAGATTGGTCTTAAATAAATAAAACAGGAGGAAAAATTAGTCATATTATTATAAAATCTATTTATAAACTAAGCTATATTTTTAATTTATTTTTTTTGTAATATTTTTAATTTCCAATAAGTTTCTACTTATTGTATTTTTTTTAATGAGAAAAAAATCTATGATGTACGATTTGTCTATATAAATATTAAAATATGAATATAATATGATATGAGTATTAGACAAATCTATTATTGAATATGGTATTAATATTAGAGCATGATTAAATAATCGTTTAAATTAAATAAATATAAAATCAATACAATCTATTTTCTATAACCTTTAATTTTATTCTTCCACGAAAATAAAAAAATAAAAAGCCCAACTAATTAGTTCATCCATAAAAAAAGCCCAACTAATAGGTAAGGACAACCGCCCACTCTGCTGATTCCCCGCCAACCAAAGTTTTCTAAATCATAAAAAAATTAAATAAATAAAAAAGCTCCACCTCATATTTGAAAAGAGAAGAAAAAATCAAACCCCAAAATGGTTGTCTTCCCTTCATCCTCCCCCCCTCTCCTCTTAATGCCCAATTCTCCTCTAAATAGAAGCCTAAAATAATGGAAGAGAGAAACTCGAAGGCTGAGACCGTCGGTCATGTCGATAGCCTCGAAAAAACCTTCAAGGGGGTCATTCATGAGGAGCATATAGAAGGAAGAGATGTCAATTGGAAGTCCTTTAAAGATGGCATGCGGATGCATCGAGTCGGGAATGCTTGGGCAGCGGCGGTTGCTGAAGGCGCCAATGGTCGTGCTCGTAGCAGTCTAGGCGCTCTTGCTCGTACCACGTCACTGCGAGCCCCACAAAAACATCCTGCATGGGGTGATGAGCAGGACGAGGCGGTGACTGCATTGTTGCAGCAGCGGCCGCCAACTAAAGAGCAATCACCAAAGATTTCGTTAATGACATTGCTGGCAGATGGAGGGAGATATTCAGACAATGATGAGGAGGAGGGTTATGAGGAAGAGAAGACACATATAGGCCAAGACAATGAGCATGACGATGATGCAAAGGAGAGCGAAGGGGATATGGTGCACACATGTTGTGTTTGTATGGTGCGGCATAAGTGTGCATCATTCATGCCCTGTGGTCATACTTTTTGTCGCCTTTGTTCTAAGGAGCTTTTGGTTAGCCGTCAAAATTGTCCTGTTTGCAATGGCTTTATTCTTGAGCTTCTTAACATTTTTTGATTTTTTTTTTCTTCTTTGATTACCTTTGCGATTGTCATCTTTATAAAATCAAGATTATGAAGGCAATAATGATGTAAAATGCTTTATGTATATTCTTGTTGATCATTTTTTTCACCTTTTTGGTTGGGTTTATCAGGTTTACATATACTATCAGTCAAATGACCTTATTATATTTAAAAAAAAAAAAAAAATCTTTCATCCATGAGAGTATGAAAAGAGGATAAGTTGAGAGGAGGTATTATGGGTAGAATAGTTATGGTAGAAATATAGTATGGTTATGTGGTTTAAAAAAGGGTTGAGAATTCCTGGAAAGCCTTTAGGTTGAGTAACAAGATGCATCATGGTGGTTATCTAACACTTCCCAAGAGAGGATCAAATCCAAGTTACATGTGTATTGTGGAAGAGCATATACAATGATGTCAAGGAGGATATATAGATTTAGGTTTTGTTTGGGACAGTTTTTTTATTGCTTTCTAAAACAGCTTTTTAGTACAAATTTTTTTTAATTCAATAAAATTTTGTACTATAAAGTTGCTTTAGAAAGTAATAAAAAAATTATCCCAAACGAAACCTTAATATGCTAATTGCATTTATAAATGTTTAAGTCATTGTGCAAACGAGATTTGAATAAGGATCAATATTCATATTACAATTTTTTACCTTATATAATGATTCTTTGAATTTTGTTTTGCATCTACGGCTTAAACATTGTTCGAAATGAATGTTTGAATTTCTTTGATGACTTGAAAGTATTTAATATAGTTGGATCATGGGCTTAAGGTGAATTGATCTTAGCAACAAGTCCACTATAATGATAATGATTTGGGGCAATTTTTCACTAATTTTCTTTTTAGATCATTGCCGCACTTGAATTTTACTACTATTTTCTTGCTAATTTTAAAAAAAATTTTGTGGCAGGAAGTTATTTTCTATAATCATATTTGCTAATACGTGACTATTTAAAAAAAAAAAACTTATAATACACACAATACCTTTCATAAAAGTTACTTTGCCTATAATAAGTTTATAACCACCTTATAAAAAGATACATACGCCTCAATTAAGGATCCCTAAAAAATTGAAATAAAAACTAGGGCCTGTGTTATGATATTTAGCTCTTTGTTTGGGAAGAAATGTAAAGGGGTTACCATGTCACTAGGGATATTGTTGCCACCATGCCGGATATTGTTGCCACCATGCCAAGCTCTCTATTTGAGTGAATAAGGGAGAATTTGGAATATTTGGTTGAGCGCTAAGGTGCTGGAGAGGCGAGTGCCAAGGGGCCAGGCCAAAATGATATTAAAAAAAAATAGTTATCTAAAAGCATTCTCTAAAACCCCTAGCCCCTAACACCTTGCCAGAGAAGGAAGAGAATGAGAAGAAAATAGAAGGGGGG